TTTGTTCCTGTTTTCATCTCGAAAAAACGTCGCTTGCTACACTGAATGAGCAATTTTCAATTTCGCCAAATTTTGGAAGGCGATAACTTTGTGCTCCTCAACACGAACGTCATGAAATGTTTTTTCATTCCACCTAACTTTTTAAGGACTACAACTTTAACTAGGAAGTCATTTTCAAACAGTAAAGGATTACAACTTTAACTAGGAAGTAAATTTAATCTCGACTGACATGCTTCCACTTCTCCGAAGTAGTTGGTGTCATAAATGTTGTAGGTGGGTATTTATACCCGCAAACCTTGTTCGGAGCATTAAATGCCTCTATCAGGCGAATTTAGGTCTTTTACAGCGTAGGACCACTATCGGTGATAATGAGTGTGTATTCGTGCATATATCGAGGTTATCTCTAGCCTAGAAAACTCTTTGTTCGATGTGGTGGTCAGTTTCAAAGTACCATACTCTAGAGTCGCCATCTTATGCCATTCTTATGTGTCTAGTCTCTGCACGACTTGCTTCTGCGGTCGTTCTCTGATGGGCTGGAATCGGTTATGGGCTTGGGCCACTAGGCCCAAGCAAAGCTTAATACTAGGTCCATCAACAATAAAGTTTAATAGATAAATACAGTGATTTTTTTTTATTTTCTTATATGACTTGCCTCTTCAATTTCATCAAATAAAAACTTGCATCTTTATAAGTGTCCACTATATTTATGTAGCCTCCTTTACAATTTTGTATTGGATGTCATGTAATATTTTGCAATTGATCAAATAACATGATTTAAGCTTCACAACTTCAATATTAACTTTATTATGGACAATCTTATAAAAAACGATTTATTATGGACAACACAACAAAGATAGCCCATATCCAACAACGCGTTGGATATCATTTTCAAACCAACTTTGGTGCCAGTCAGTGGCGGATCCAGAACAGGTTAGAGTACTAGGCCGCATTTAAAAAGCGGAGGAGAAGGCTGGGCCGTAACCCTATAAACATTAAAATATATACCCAAAATCGGAAATTTACAAGAAATATACGAGCTTTGGATCCAGAGAGGGCTGGACCGTGGCCCGGGGGCGCCCCCTAGATCCGCCGCTGGTACCAGTTGAATAGACAAGAATTCCTTCCTCTTTCACTCTCAAACTAACAACCGAGGGATCGTTTGTATGGATCAATTGTAAAACGAGACAATTTGACCAATTATTTTATTTTACAAAATGAGTCCATTTGTCCCCACCCCAAACAATTTTAATTAACTCAAATTGAGTCAATTCAAATTTCACAGTCCAAATTCCTTCTTCCAAATTTTGTGCTGGCAAACAAATCAATCAGGCCCAATTGTCTAAAATTTTCTATAAATGGTCGTTTGGATTGATGATTTGAAAAACTTGTTATTTGTTGCCAATTACCACACAAAAATCACATAACATAATACTTGTTATTTGGTATGTGATTTTTGGCACCAAATAACATGAACCCCTCCAAGTATTTGGCAAACACCACACCCTCTCTTTTCCCAACCAAACATGTTATTTGTGGGCCAAATAACACGCCCAAACAATCCATCCAAACTACCCCTAAGGGCTAAGAGATGGACATGAACGAGGGCAGATCAGGTGACTAAGGGGGGTGCTTAGTCACTTGACTAAGTCCCTCCCAGCCCTTAGATCTGGGCACACCAATCTGACGTTCAAGACGTGGGATAGGCTTTTTAATTAGTGACAGTGGTATTTTGGGTATTATGAAAAATTTCGAAGTATACAAATCAGACTTTCAAACAGTACAAACAATACAAAACATACCAACATTAGAAACTAAACTGACAAAACATACAAAGAGATTTACACACAATATAAAACATACAATCTATACAAACAATTCAAGTCAAACTGACAAACAATACAAATCATACAAAATGAAAAAAAAAACCAGGTTGACTTTGGAGATTTCATCCCTATATAGAGGGATTCCATCGGAAAGTCAATTCGTTTTTTTTTACATGCAAACATGGTGGGCAAAAATGTCAAACTAGACCGACAAACCATACAAAATGGAAAAACACCCAGGTTGACTTTGGAGGCTCCATCTCTATATAGAGGAGTTTAATCCAAAACTCAACCAGATTGTTTTTTAGACATAGAAAACATTACAAACATGGTTGTCAAAATAACAAAGCATATAAACATTACAAAAGAAACTGACAAACATTACAAAAATAACAAAGTTTACAAACATTACAGAATAAACCGAAACACTACAAAGCATACTAACAATACAAAACAATACTACTTACAATACAAAATCAATAAAGTTGTAGTACAAATCAATACAAAGATACAAATTATAACATAAAGTATACAAACTAGACTAACAAATATTATAAATCAAAATATATACAAATTAGTCATATAAACATTACAAACACAGTAGACAAAAATAACAAACTAGACTGCTAAACGATACAAACCGAATTGATATAAACATTACAAAGTGGACTTATAAACAATACAAAGTAGGTCGACAAACATAACGAATCCAGCACTGCCGCCGAAAATCGTTCTCTGAGGTCTATGGTTGCCGGAAAATCTACTATGCCGTCGCCGGAAAAGTCGGCCTGAAAATCTCTCTCTCTCTCTCTCTCTCTCTCTCTCTCAGGCGGGAAGAGACGGTAAATTTTCGGCCAGGGAAGAGACGCAACATAAATAGTCAGGTTTTTTAATTAATTAGTAATAATTTAAATTTAAAAAGTCTTGCAATTACCACTCTACCCTTCATTAAATTGAAAATTTAGCATCTCTAGATTTAAATGAAATTGGATGGATGAGATACACTTAGTCACATGACTAAGTGGACACCCTTAGTCACTTCTCGTTTGTTTGTTGGATTAGAAAATGAGGGTATTGAGTTTTAAAAACCTTTGAATTTATGATGGATTTGGAAGAGTACATAGTTTGTTTAGCTAATTTTTCTCATAGATTTATGATGGATTTGTCTCACATCAAATTCCAAATGAAATATGGGATTTACAAATCCGTGAGATCCACGGATTTGGATCTAAAAAAGGTCCAAATCCGTAGGCTCCACAAATTTGTATCTCCTAACAAACAATGAATTTGTTTCCTGGCTTCTCCGCAGACCACGGCAGGCCACTTTGGACTTTTCCACATTTATTATAATTGATTTATTAAGGAATTTGGGTATATATCATGGGCAACGGAAGAAAAAAGAAGAATGAATGGTTATTATTGTACTTAAGAACTAAAATTATACAGCCCATAGAAGCTCGCCAAAACACTCTACTTATTTAAATTGTATTCAAATGCCTATGAAAAAATGTATATTGGAGTATGAATCATTATTAACTAATTGCACTCCATACGTTCCATTACTAACTCTCCTGTGTTGCTTTTACAAATATTATTTAGACTAATAATTTTGACGACTATATTTTTGTAATTTATGCATTGAAGGAATTTTTTCCTTAGAGAATCGTCCAAACAATCAAATAGTGCTTCAAATCTTAGCATATCTAATGATGGATATTGTTTTCATAGTAAAATTTGAAAAGTAAAGTTAGAAGTAAGATTGAAGAAATGATGCTAGGGATGACAATTATCCAAACCCAAGTAAACCCATTGATTATGGGTAGGGTATGTATGAGTGAAGTCTATGAGTTTGGGATTTTGTAGATAAATTTGGGTAGGGTATAATTATTACTTCTATATTATAAATAAGTATGAGGTGGGTATGGATGCCCTTTACTTGATATTGTTTTAACTACACATACAAAATTGGACTGATTTATAAAGCTTAAAAAGTTTTGGTATCAAAACATAAGCCACAAAATTTTTAGGTATTAAAATGTAAATATCATCAATATTTTTAGGACTTATACGAAAATAATATGTTTAGGTATTTAGGTACCAAATTGTAATATGCATATGGGTATGAGTACACAACCAAATTTATGGATTAAAAACTTAATACAACGAAATGGATATGAGTATAAACTCATCAAACTCCACTACTTTTGTATATTATGAAAGATTTGTGAAATACATTCATTGCTTATTTTGCAACTGAAATAGTTTCAATGTATACAATCCAACAATCATGTAGATTGGTCACTTATTCTATTCTGAAGATCGTCCTTGATTAAATTTATAGTAAATAAAGCAATTTAACAAATTGGAGTTGCAACACATGCGTCATTACAATTTTGAAGGTGTGTCAAAATGTATTCAAAAGTGTGTTTCTAAGTAAAAGCATTTTAGTTATCTAAAAAGCATAAAAACATAAGCTTTTAATTTGTAAAGTGCAATTCTGACAACATTGGTGACATTGGAAATTTATATGTAAATGTGAATAGTGTGGAGCAATGATGTGGAGGAGTGAACGTACTGAACTCATGAGAAATTCTAATAAACCCAAGTTTTCATTGTTTTGCAACTAATTTATTTTCAATTTTGTCTTTACATTAATTTGTATTTTATCCGATACTAAGTTGACAATTTCAAAAATATTTAAAATCGGGGAAGAACAATACCTCCTCTCCCTCATGTCTTATTAAATAAAGGAATAAATATTTACAAAAGAAATGGAATGAAGTTGAAATTCCACATCAAGTTTAGTGAGTACAACATCACAAATTACATAACTGAATTAACAGTTTCGAACATAATCTAATCATTGATCTCCAAGAACATTTGTGACTAGAATGAGGTGAATTATTTTATCATGAAAATGATATTTCATATATGGTTATGTTTTGTCTTTGAATTTGTTTCGCAAACATGTACAAAAAGAAGCGCCAGTTGATGATGGAAATTCTTTACAGTAAAGAAGTGATACTACTCATTTTGGAATACCTATAATATTGTTATTAAATTTATTATGAGTTGAGGCACTGAGTACAATGTAGTAATATGTATGATGAATGCTATTTTTTATTGTCTCTCCAATTGAATAGTTTGAATTTTTTAATGGTAAAAACTAAGAAACTATCTTCAAATTGTTGTTGATTACTGTTATAGTATTGTAACCGACCAACGGGCCGGGGTACAATCTAGTAATAACATACATATATGATATATGCCAAGACCAGTAGTATGCTGTAGCCATTTTTTTTTGTAACAGACCCGTTGATGCGAACAAGCATATCTTAACAACTCGAATTGCCCCGGTTAACCCCGCAGCGCGAGTTTACACATATACACAGCTGTTACATGGATAGGAAGGATATCGTGATCCGGCTACCAATTCCAAACGTCGCAATGAATATACACATATACTTAAACCAAAGCATGTGTCCATGTGGCATAATAATAATAATAGTAATAAGAATGGCACCCTTAACGAAACGTGTAACAACAGTCAGTCTACAGGCCCTTCATTATCAGTTGCGATCATTCCTTGTTGGATCCTCTTCATGAGTCGGCCACAACAACTGATGATGGTTGATTCGTGCAAGCATGCAGAACGGTGCATATATCTGTCTTCTCCAGGAATTGTTCTGCGTTTATAAGGATCACAGGACCATACTCAAACACCAGTTTCTTGCACTGCCAAAATCATGAAAAGAAAATCCGCGTAAGTTTTCAATTAATCAACAGAAACGCAGAACAAGAAGATGGATCCATTTAATTGAATTATACTGTCTAATAACATAGTTCTTACCTGTGCCTTGCGACTATCCATGGAGTTGCAAGCCTTTAATAGCAGCTCAATTATCTCCAACTGTTTGCCAAACAAGAAACAAAACAATGTTACATGCAGCACAACTTGGAGCAATCAACAACTATAAGCTAAAGAATGCCGCATCTTCGAGCATAACAACCATCGAGAAGGCATATGAATCAAGAGATGGACCAATAATGTGCAGCTATCAGCCTGTCACAATAGTTTCTGCCATAAATTATTCTTGTATATAAGCTGCTGTGAGAAGCAGGGCAAACCTGAGTTTCGGGATCTTTCAACTTGGCCATTACTTCAGAAACAGTATTGTGGCAAATTCCACAAGCATCTTCTTCGATTTTTGCGGCAATGGCTGCAACCTTTTGGCAAAGGTCCACCTTTCTACAGAAATCTTCAGGACTGATAGAAGAAACCTCCAAGAAGAAGAGTGGAGCATAATAGTCTACCAAACTGATGCACTGAAATATGAAAGTATATGTGTCACTAGCAATTCAAACACAATTAAAAGCTTCATAGTAGTTAATTTTGGAAATGTTTTCAATTAGACGGGCTTTGCACGATTTTACGATGCTCCAAAAGCTTCTTCTTCAGTTTCATTGACCAAGAGGTTAAGTAACGAAATCATAATAATCATCTGAGTTTGACTACATTGTTATTCAGAACATCCACCAGTTATGAGCTGTATTAAGATAAAGTACAAATATTTCTGAACATCAGAATTGCCAAAGACTTACCTCAGTCTTATATGGGGGAAAACGAGCACACGTTTGATGAAGGAGTCCTATAATCTCTGTCTGTGTCTTGTTATTAGAAATGTACTCTAGAGCCTGAGCACTGTACTGCTCACATATCGTGCATACTTGGTCCTTCTTCGCCACGTCTGCAGCATGAATTCCACTTCCTTGCTTCTGGATTTCCACTGTAACATTTGAAAATAAACACAGCTGATTCCGTGAATTGACAATTCCTCATTTCAAACATAACAAAATCGCCAAGGGAAATTCAAGAAATAGATGGCATGCTCATTTTATCTCAATGAGTTTTGCCTATAGAGCAAGCGCTGTGTAGCTGGATTAAGTAGGCTTACATCATCTACACACATATTTGCTCATATCAAACTACAATCAAAGTTAACTTCAGCTGTGAATAGGCGGAACATACAAAGAGTGTGGTAGTTCTTATCCCTGAGTATGGTTAAGAAGTCAAAATTAAAAAATCACAGCTTTAGCCATTTTTTGCATCCAAGGATCAAACGGGAACCAACAAAAGAAGAGATGGTTCATAGCCACAGTCCCTTCGTAGCTGGAAAACTTGTATGCATAAAACTTGCGTTGAAGAAAGGCATAAGCTTTACCTGATGCTTCCTTGTCGACAGGAAGCTCAAGGGTTATGAATTGTCTGGCAGAGCAGCCCCAGGCACCAACCAACACAAGGAGGAAAAAGAGTTCAACTCTCCGATCCATGATTACACCTGAAGAAACCGGCAATTAAAATCAAGATCGAAACTTTAAACTGGGAATCCTCTCAATCAATCAGCCTTAGGCAATCATAATCTGGGAGAACTTGGCAAGTCAAAGATACTCCCCCAGAGATCCACCGAGCCAATTATTGAAGAAACAACAGAGACTCTAAGAACTCAAAACCCCAAATTAACTTGAACAATTTCTGAAGGGCCAAGCACAAAATCACGAAGGAACAACAGCTAAAAGCAACCTCGCGCAGTCAGATTGGTGATCGAGAGAGTACCGAGCAGAAAGCTAACAATTAAAATTGAATTTCCTTGGGAAATCAGCAGGCCCAAACTTGCGGGGACTAGGAATTCCTAAAACTCCTTTAGCAAGCAAAAGCTATGGGTGGGTAAGGGAAATTACCTCAGTCCAAGTTGCGAAGGATTCAAGGATGAGAGGAGAAGAATAATTGGATTTTGGTTTCCTTCCTCGATGTATAAAGGGATGTTTCGTCAAGGTTGGTTTGGGTCCTATCCTGTCGTCGGCTAATCATGGCTATATAGTTACGAAATACGAACCTCTGGTCTTCCACGGAACGCCACTAGATAAAATTAAACAAAATTAAATCTCCAAGTGGTTCGGATTTCTATCTTGGCAGGAACGCTATTGGTTGACGTGTCCAAATATAGCAGACTAACGTTTCCCTGATATTTTGGTTAATCGCCTTGGGTAAACTACCCAACAGGTCAATTGACGTCTATTTCTCGTTGCTCATGTGAAAACAAGAGAATTATTTTGCTAACTTAAATAATTTAGGCTTGTCAATGGGTAGGCCTATTGGGTTTTTTTACCCAAATACCTTGACCTATATGGGTATTGGGTTTGGACCCAAATGGACCCAAATTACTTTTTATTTTTTTTTGGGTTGGGTTGGGTTTAGATTGGGTCCAGAATTGACCTGTATATTTGGGCCGACCCAAATGGGTCCATTTGGGTATAAGTTAGATTTTGGTTAGTTGAAAGTCCTGCTTATTAGATTTTGGTGAACCCGATAATTTATGCAAATCTGTATAATTTTCTTTCGATTAGGCTGAACCAGAATCTGAACAACAAAGCTTCACCCATTCTAGTCTCTCGTGTTTCTTCTCCAATTAAGCAAAAGCTCTCCAACAAGAAACTCAATGGTTCTTACTTCTTAGCTAATTTACTAAGCACTAAGCAGCTATTTCCTACGAACTCAATTTCAAAGGCTGGAGGAGACTGACACAAAAAAAACCCCCCACAAATTTTGTCGCTGAAGCGTCCTGCAAACCACAACAATTCATGGCCATCTTCATCGAGATTCCATCTCTAGCCAGCTGAGTGATATATTCAACCATTGCTGCCCTGCATATTTCACACCATAATTGAGCATTCCAAGCCCCAAAAACAATTTCAATAGGAAAGACAGCTAAGTCTGACAAATCCAATTAGAAGTTGAACAAAAAATTCAACTCAATCTAAGGAACCACCTGATTCATACAAACCTAAACCACAAAAACAGAATGCTTCTTGGCACCGCTTCAATTGTCATGCTCCTCCCCATCTGCATCTTCCGCGTTCTCATCGTCTATAGTTGCATGACTCAAATCATGAGTAACTTTGGATGACAATTTCAGAAATAGATCATTGAGCTGTTGTTGGGAAAAAAGGACAATGCACAAGTTAATGCAGTGTACAACAGAGTTGCAGTTGGTCCTGTGTACAAGAAACAGATACAGAAGAGTACACCATTGCATTTGGTTTTACAATCCTTGTTCAATTTGCAGAAGGAACAAGAAAAAGGATTAGAATGATAACAATGAGCTTCTGTAGTCTACAGTCTCCTTCAAAAACCAATAAACCATAGAAGCTGGTTGCATTATTGGCCATGGATTAGATATACCAACTCAATTAATAAAACCCAAGTTTCCAGTTGCTGCTGTTGCTTTTGACCATTAACCCACCTCGAGTTTACAGAAAATGGGTTCATCTCTTTCGCCCAACATAGGCCACTCCTTGTGAGAGATATAAAATAAAAGGAGTTGCAGAAGCTATAGCACCATCCAACCCCAAACACACGTAAAGGTGGAAACTAAATTTGTACACTTTAGGGCTGAACTATTTCTATGCATATGCTCATTCTATCAATGTAGCTCATACACTCCCAAGTCCCAACTATTAAACACAAAATAACCAGAGGAAGCTAGCTGCCCTTGAGGTTCTTGAGAATGCAGGAGGCTTCATTATGATAAGATTGTAAGATTTCGTGCTCTCTCGAGTCGAAAATGAAAGCACGAGATTGAAACAAAATTTTACCATACAGGCAAGCTCGAGTGACAGGATAACTTCTTTCCAACCATAGACTGAGTGATTGAACCGTTGAAGAAGCTTGAGTGCCAAAGCATCCACAACTTCTATCTTGTTTTCAATCTCCTCCTGTAACATTTCCACCAACGAGCAGAACACAAAAGCATTGTCATTGGAGCAAATTAACATCATAAAAGCAGGCTTTTCTCAGTTGAAAGCAAATCTCAGGAGTATATAAAACAGTATGAAAGAGACTAAACAGAGATTGGACTAGCAAGGAGCTCCAGTGCGTGTCTACGACTACTACTGCCGCTGTCAAACTAGCAGTGTGATTACATCAACATTGGTGAGGAACTAACCATCAATCAAATCATTTAGTACAAACAGAGAGGGGGCAAGATCTAGAAGAGAAGAAGATGGGCAAACCTGGAGATCGAGACCAGCACGAGAAGAGCGAGAGGTGGGTTTCTTCCACAGCCTCGGGGTTCGATGGTGGGGAAAAGGAGAAGCTGCCGGCGTCGGGGCCGATGGTCGCTGATCGAGAATCTGGATTGCAGACCGGCGGCGTCTTCGGGGCTGATGGTCACTGATCAAGAATCGGATGCAGGCGGGCGGAGGCGTCTTCGGGGCTGATGCTCTCGTTAAGGGTATTAGGTCGAAGATGAAGAGACCCGTTTGGGTTCTGTAGAAATTTTTTAATTAATTTTCTGGGCCTATCTTGGACCCAATTTAATTTGATGGGTAACAGAAAAACCCAAAACCTGATTTGGCCCAAATTCAATTGGGTTTGGGTAAAACTCATACCCTAAGACCCATTTGACATGCCTACTTTTCATCCATTTTCATTAGATCTGTTAAGGTGGCAATCAACTACTCTATTGACTTGTTCTCGAAACATTGGATTAATAAATCGAATCAAACGTAGCACGATACATGAGTTTTACGTGGTATCCTCGGTTGATTGACTACCGAGACTAATCCACGGGAGAGGTCAGCCTCTCCAGCTCTGATATTATTAATTGATAAATTAGGTTGCAATGTCATACGACTTATACTCCCTTTATATGTCTCTATCTCTTGTTCACCTAGAGTTACATTAGGGAGAGCTGTCGAGCAGCTTTCCTACAAGGGCTCGGTTTGGGTTGGAAAGTACAGGCAGCAATGGGCTTGGGCCCGCCTTCACGAGCAACCCGTGCTGTCTCATGATCACTGTCCAATACTCCCTCTCAAGCTGAATAGTGGAGGTCACACACGTTCAGCTTGGAGAGAAGAAAATGAAACTTGTCCACCCCCAAGCCTTTGGTCAAGGTGTCTGCGACTTGATGATGCGACATGGCCTTGAGAGGAAGTATATCACTTGAGACGATGCATTCACGTACAAAGTAGCAGTCCATCTCGACATGCTTAGTGCGCTCATGGAAGACCGGGTTGGCACCAATGTTAAGTGCAACCTAATTATCACAATACAGAGGAGTGGGACGAGACTGAGGAACACCAATTCACCGAGTAACCAGCATAGTCACAACAGCTCACTAACAATGCTGGCAATGGCGCGAGATTCTGCTTCAGCAGAAGCGCAAGCCACGACTTTCTGTTGCTTGGTACGCAAGGATATGGGAGCCGAACCAAGATAGATGACGACACCACTAGTTGAACGACGACTAGACTGACAACCACACAAATTTGCATCATAATGAGCAGTTAGCTCAAGAGAATTATCAGTGGGAAAGTACAAACTTTATCCAGGTGACGTCTTCAAGTAATGCAGAATGCGCAGAGAAGCATCCATGTGAGTTTGAGTGGAAGCATGGACAAAACGACTTAGAATGTTGACACCATAGGTGATGTCAGGCCGCAAAACTGTGAGATAAAGTAACCTGCCAATCAAGAGACAATAAGAAGAACCATCAGCTAGGGAACGAGATGACGGATTGGTTAACTGGTGATTTTGCTCGATTGGGAACGTTCTAGGACGAGCGCCTAAGACACCAGCCTTTGCCAGAATATTCAAAACATACTTTCGATGACTGATGACTATGCCGCAAGGAGAGCGTGTGACTTCCAAGACAAGCAAATAATGAAGGACCCCAAGGTCCTTGATGCTAAACTTCTGGTCGAGGAAGCGTTTAACATGATTGAATAACATCCATGTTATTACCTGCTAGAATAACGTCATCAACGTAGATGAGCGCAACAACAAACACGTCCCCTTTCTTATAGTCAAAGAGAACTTTTGTAGGTGAAGCACGAAAACTAAGATCCCCCAATGATGCAGTAAATTTCTAATACCAGTTGCGTGAAGCATGACGCAACCCATAGATGGACTTGTGAAGCCGATAAACACGAGTATCATCTTCCTCAGCAAACCCCGGAGGAACTTTCATGTAGACTTCCTCATATACATCTCCATGCAGAAAATGCATTATTGACATCCAACTAATGTAAAAACCACCCCTGAATGACTGCAACTGCAAGGAGAGTACAGACTATGACTAGCTTGGTTACTGGGGCGAAGGTATCTTGATAATCAAGACCTTTGATCTTAGTGCAAGCCTTGGCTACTAGACGAGTTTTGTATCGCTCAACAGAACCATCAGGTTGATCTTTGACCTTGAAGACCCACTTGCATAAAATGCAATGTTTCCCAGGAGGAAGCTGCATAAGACTCCAAGTACCATTTGCAACAAGAGCCGCAATCACCTTGGCCATATCCTCTCTCCAACATGCGTGGCTAATGGCTTGACGAAATGTGGTGGGCTCAGGTATATGATCGATATTGGCCAAGAACTCACGATATGAAAGTGTCATTCATGCATATGAAATGTGATGTGACAAAGGATAACACACATGGGAAGCCGGGTGGAGATCCGTCTCGTATACATCAATGAGGTGCTTGGGTGGCTGACGCACCTTATCACTATGACTCGGAACTTGTGCTGGCAGAGGGGATTCCACTGGAGGAGAAGTGGAGGACACGTCCCCAGGAACTGACTCATTTGTTGTCGAGGGACTTTCACTAGACGAGGGCTAAGACGATGAATTTTTGATCAAGGGTTGCGTTCGGATCGTGTTAGGACTTGATATTAGAGAAGAAGAATTGTCATCTCCAAGAGGAACCGGCTGAGTAGAAGACTCACTGTTACACCCGGCTCTTCCCAAAAGTCAAAATGACTATTATACCCATGGGTCAAGTTCCACCGTATTATCGATGAGGATTAAAAATGTGAACTATCGGTTCAAGCTGTGTCGAATTTCGACATAAAATGAGAAAGTTACGGACATTAATTGAAGTTTCGGATTAAAACTCA